AGCGGATGTCGGGGAGGGGACGAGGTGGCGGTAGATGCACGTTACGGGGGTTGGGGAGGGGGGGTGAAAGAGGGCGGAAGCGGGCCGAGTGCCGTCCATAAACGTTCTTCCAAAACTTTATTCACGCGAATGGCCGGGGCGATCCGCTGGCAACGAATTGCGGTTGAACTGTATGGGTGTGTATGTGGGGGGACGGAGGGGGGGGGGCTGCAAGGGCGGCAGTAACCTGGCGTTACGGGACACGTTCCGCCGCGCCACAGCCACATTCCACCACACGGGGACATGACTTAGATTCCAGTGTTGCCGCGCGCGGGCCGGCCGCACTCACACACGCGCGCGCGCACACACGAGAATAATTTCCACTGATGACGCTTCCCTGCCCCGAGCAGCAGCAGCAGCAACAGCAGCAGCAGCAGCAGCAGCAGCAGCAGCAGCACCGCCTGCGGGGAGGAATGCCACACATTCTTTCTTTGCACGAGCGAGCGCGCGCGCAACAACGACTGCGAAAAAACAAAACATTTTTAAAAATACAACAAAAGAAAGAGAGAGAAAAGAAAAGTAAAAGAGAGAAGAAGTGAGGTTATTCGCAAAATGCGTGTGGACGAGGAAAAGCAGCAGCAAGGCAGCGGCAGCAGCGGGTCGGGTCGGCTGTGCTGTGGGCTGGGGCGCGGGCGTAGTGAGCAAGCCGGGCGCGCCCACTGCGACCGCGGGCGAGTGGTCGCGCACCCACCCTCCAGGGCAGAGTGGGCCGGGCGGGTAGCTAGCTCATCAGATGGTGACACACACACACGGAGTATCGCCCAGAGACCCCCAGCTGATTAGCCTGCGCCGGCCTGCGCGGAGCGCCGTGGCGGGAAGATTCATCTGCCCACATTGAGAGAAAGTTCAGAGCAGACAGCAAAACTGAATTTGGATTGTCCTCTTCAACAGTTGGTTACATCTAATCAGTTTCGGTGTCAGGCTAAAACCTATAGACTCTGCACCAGTACTTTAGACCCCCCGCACCAGAACATTTGGTGACCACACCTAAAAAAGTTTAGATAGTACTTTTCTGTCAAAACCCAAACTTTTCTCTCCGCGCACTACTAATACACACACGCAAATGCACGCACACACATACAATTTTGGGAAGGGCTGTAGAGGGCCTGTTAGTTATGGGGTATCTGGGTTCATACAAGGTTCACTCAAACATAAAAGATGGCAAGCTTTGTTTCTGGAGTATTGCTAATGCTTTTCTTTGCAGCCCGCGCGTTTCGAGATGTAGCACCATCGGGAGGCGTTGTGGCCTCGTGCTGGAGCCGGAGAAGGGGAAGGGGTGGAGACTGACGATGAAAGGTGAGCAAGTCTCCCTTCCCCTTTGCTCGCCCTTTACCCCCCCCCCCCCCAATGGAGCGCCCATAATGGGGGCCAACGGCTCAATATACCGCAAGCCTAAACACAAAATATTTGCCACTTTCTGTCCCGCTGCGGAGCCGAGGGGTGGTGGTGGCAGCGGCTCGCCGGGCCTCCTGGCTTGCTCGGCTGGCCGCGGGCCGAGCGAGCGAAGCGGGGTGGGTTGTGGGGCGGGGTGGCTGCGAATGCCCCCACAGAGCGAGCAGCGGGCCCGGACCATAGCGGCACAGCGGCGCTGGCTGCCTGCCTGCCGCCTAAGTGAACCATCATTCACACCAACGACAGACGCCGCTACATTCTCGCCGCCGCTGGCCTCGCTGGTGCGGTGCGGGTGATGCTGGCGGAACCTAAAATGGTGTAACCGTGGTGTGTAACCGGCCGCGGCCGAGGGATATTTCACAATTTAACGTCCGTTACAAACCAAAAGCAAGGGGAAAAGAGGGCAAAACCACCGTCATCGGTTTAAGAGAGAAAGAGCGAGTTGGGTAAAAGGCGAGAGGCTACATCGGGCAGAGAGGTCAGGTCGCGCGGCCCCGCCAGAACCCTCGCAAAGACGACGTGGTTTCCGCATTTGCGGTTGGACCATATCCAGGACTTGGGTGTATATGTTTTTGGCCGCTGAGCGTCGACGAAGTCCGCGGGGGCGTTTTGGTCGTGTGTCTTTATTTCTCTAATGTGTGGGGTCGTTCGAAAAACTAGACTTTGTTACTATGCACAAAAAACAACAAATTAAAGAAAAAACGGTATCACTTCGTTGCGAAATGAACCCGTGAATAAGAAATGTAAATTATATGTCCCACTGTCAAAAAAGTTGTAAACATTTGAATTTGGGGAATTCAATTGGCAATTCGTGTGGAAATGTTAGTCGTCTTTTGGTCTTTCTTCTTGTGTAGTGTTACGGTGGTAAAGGGATTGAAGTGCGGGGCTGAGGTGAGATGAGTGCTCTTGGTAGTAGGCAGCAGGTAGTGCTCTATTCCAGAAGATTCGATACAGTGGTTCAGTGATCGACGCTGGTTGACCGCCACGCAGGACGGTTGGTACGCGCTAATGTGGCACAGGTATCCGTCGCGGAAGACGGCGGGTGCGTGACTGCCGCACAGCCGCACGGCTGGGCCGTGCGCGCCAAAGTGCTGATGATGTACTTATGCACCGTGAGCCCTAGGCGGGGAGCTAGTGAGGCTAACAGTAGTGTATACAAGGTTGTGTCCGAATTCGTGCACCGACCGATCGCGGGCCGTGTTGAGCCGCTCCGAGCAGCTCAGCCAACCGCGAACCACGAATTGCTTTCGCGGGAGATGGTTGCGCGACCGCGACCACCCCCGCGTAGGGCCTGCGCCCTACAACCATCCCTCGCGAAAGATCGCAGACCGATTGATCGGTCCGTGCCCCACAAAATGGTATGCAAACCCGCAACTTTGCGCATTGGGGTATTCACTCTGACTCTCTCGTACGTGGATTTCAGGTGGGAAACACACATTGAAACTTTAGTTTAGTCTGTTTTTAATGGTAAGGTTCAATGGGTATTTTCCACCTTAAATTATGTTGTCGATGTTGTCGGATGAATGTGGGCACCGCAGAAAGTTCGGCTGACCACTAAAAAGCTTGATGGCTGTATAAACCTTCTAGAAATTTATTTTATTTACCTCTGTTTTGGGTACTCTCAACTGGCGCGTGTGGTAGAAACGGGTCCGTTAACTAGATTTGTCGGCCTGCCCGTAGCCTGGAGCCACCGACATTGCAGATCTTGGTGGCAGCAGCAAAATTAACGTGTGGAGACGACGAATCTCTTTGGTTTCCCGCTGATGCCCTCTATAAGTCGTACACTGTGTCGTTCTCCCGTCCCTCCTTCCTCAAACGGCCGGTAGGAGAGCGACAGGGCCCGCCCGAGCCGACCTGGGCGGTGGCAGCCCGCCCATGATCACAAGTGTTCCTTCTCTCTTGGCGACTACTACCCTGCTACGAACGCAGCCCGGCCCGGCCCAGCGCTCAGCGCAGCCGCTGTCAGTGAGACGCTCTCAGCTGCTCTGTGTTGACCTCCGCGGTCCTCCGCGACTTGACGTGTTCGACAAGAACTCTCCAGTACAAGGTATGTACAGTCCAGCCTACAGTATCTCTCTAATAAGTTCCAGACCATTCCGTGGTGATTTACCAGTGTACTTTTTAACAGTGATGCTGGTCGCCGTCCTCGGCCCGCGCACACTGCCGTGCGCTGCCCCGGCTGGAGTACCCGAGCCCATCCAGCCGACACGGTCAAGCATACCGATCATCCTGCTTCTGTTCGACTGGTATTTGAGGGACAAGACTTGGCCGTGCCTTCCTCTGCATAAGGTACAGTCCAACAGTCCAGCCTACAAGATCGCACTGTTTGAAACATTACCAAACCCTTCTGTAGTGATTTATTGTTGTAATTTTTGACAGTGGAAGCCGGGTCGCCGTGCAAGAGGAGCAGCTCTGGTGTGGGCGAGCCACTCTACCGCCGCGGGACCCGCTGTGCCGTGAGCAGTTCAGCCAGCGGCAACTCAAGGTAACCACCGTCATCAGAGGTTAGAGTCAGATAGGGCCTTTGGCAGCTGGGGGTTAGGGGTCAGGGGTTAGGTTCCCACTCCCACTTAGCGTCCTTCACACTAACACATCCACAACACACTCCACCACATGACCGGTGCGACAGTCGTGGCGTAAAGAACGGGACGGAACGGGACTAAAGCGAAAGTCGCGACGGCGCGACCGTGGTTGTTGTAAAGCTCATCGTTTTTTGGAAGAGACTAAACAAAGTTGAAGATGTTGACGCCATGGCTTGTCGGTAATCAGCCCCATTTTCCTGTTTTGCCGTTTGACTTCGGATTGTTTCCCCTCTCATGATAGTTTTGTTCGCAGGATATGCACTAGCTCGCCGGAGCGGACAGCAGGCAGCTGCTCGCCCTGTACTGCTGCTGGCTTGCGCGACGAGGATAAGACTAAGTTTGTGTAGTGGGGGATGAAGTCGCAGCGTATTTGATTATTTGTCAGGCGTGCTCCCGTGACACTCGCTTCTGTTCGCCGGCCGGACCTCGCCGCGACTCGGCCTGCTCGGGGCTCGGGTCCCGCGGACAGCTGGACCAGCTCATGGCAGGTACGTCTCTAAAGCATTGTTTGTTCCTCATTTGGCCCGCTTGCAGTGGCCCTGGTCATTCCCTGCTGCCGCCCGCCCCTCGGCTGCTGCCGGCGCGTCGTTCTGGCCTGCCCCCGCCGGCTACCGCGGGTTTCCCCCCTAGGCCCCCTCCCCCCGCGGGACCGGCCAGGCGCAGCGCCCAGGATAGCGCGCTGGCGAGCGGCTTGGCGGGCGTGTTTGTTACATTGCGACCGGGTGACCACGAGGGCGAAGTTGTGGCTTACTTCAACCGCATGTAGGGACCAGTCTGATGCGGTGTTCTGTTTTGTCTGCCGCTGCCCCTCAGCCGCCCTCCCGACCACTCCACTCGACTCCTACGCAGTCCTGGCGCATGAAGCAGTGCATCAACGCGCCCTCGCCGCTGAGGGCCTCGCCCGCCCGCGCCTAGGTGTCTAGGAGTAAGTGACATCTTCAGTGGGCCTAGTTGGCTTGGTTAGTGTGTGGAATGATTGTAATCTAGTATTGTTCCTGTTGCAGAGTCGCCGTTGGAGGACCGCGTCGGCTACGAGTGCAACAACCCCACTGGTGTCGCGGCCTGACGACCAGCGGAATCCCAGGACGTCCGCGACGCACTGTTTCAGCTGGTTTGCTGTGATACGTGAAACGAAACGTTTGCTTCTCCAGTTGCTTTTCTAGTTCCAGGCCATAGTTCCAGTTCCGCTCCGGTCAGCAGGAGGTCACCGCGGTCGGCGAGGACGCAAAGGCACCAGGACTCCAGGACCATCCCAACGCCCGCCATGGAGGTCTCTCTTTCACCATGAACGCTGCTTTAGCTGTCTTCCTTGCAAGCAACCGGAACAATTACAACCAGTAAGTTTTTCCAGGCTAAGACCTCATGCATACATTATTCACGTACAATTAGTTGACTACAAAATGTATTCTGATAACAGTTGTAATAGTAACGAGAACTCATTGAGGTGCTGTTTATGGATTGAGATGAGACTGTGCTTTTCCTTTCAGATGCGCAGGGTGAGCGGTAGCACCACTGGAGGCGTATGATGAGAAGCTGTTCGACTGGCGTGGGGCTGCGAAAAGGTATTTATCAAATTATTTTTCACTCCAGTTTAAGGCTTTTATTTTTTTAAAATTGATGTTAATTAAGCTTGCTTTTGTTTTGGACAATTTGTTGTTTCTGGACAATTTGTTGTCTCTGGACAATTTGTTTCTGCATTGCACTTTTGTGGGAGCTTGTTAATTTCAAGCATTTTTGCGTAAAAATTCTAGTTTTGTTTACTATTTCTTAAGTAGTTGTGACCAGCAATGGATTGTGAAAGCAGATCGTGCAAGTTTGAGGCTAGTGTCTGGTTTTAATTTGCCCCATCTAAAGTAGAACACCAGCAATGTTTACGGTCAAAACAGTTTGACCAGTATTTAAATTTTGTGGGAGAAAAATATAAACCTGGTAATTTGTTTTTAATCTCCTCTCAAACAAATTTATTTGGTATGTATGTTCCAGATCGCATCTCAACATTGCTGTTCAACCAGATGGAAGTTGTCAAATTTCATGGCAGGACAAGAGAATCATTTCACATTATAATATATTTAATTGTATCATACTGTCATTCATCTCTGACTTCTTGACTTTGTCTTAGATTGTATTATAGAGCATGGTTTTTGTTATCTTGGATCATAGTGGAGATCATGGTATCTGTCTTTGGATCGTAGTATAGAATGGTGTTTGTTGTATTGGCTGGTGTATTGGTTTTAAAATTTTGGTTGGATTTTGCGGGACTTTCTACTTGTAATTTATCTTGGTTCTAGAAAAAAATCTAATCTCTTCGAACTTGACACTTCTATTTTCTTTACATCAAAACCAACTGCACACTCCTGTATCATACATCATTTCATAAAGAGCAAAATTGTAAAATTTATTACTGTTAACAATGTTGAGCATTTTTCCAATCCATTCAGTACTTCCTATTTATTTTAAATATGTAGTGATATCCTATTGTCTTCTATGAATTCAGTTCTCACTGTTCAGTCAACCTATGGATCTATTAGCTATTTATTAAGAATTTTTTACAATGACCTTTTCAAATTAGTCTGTCTGCAAATTGATGGCTGTGTTTTGCTAATCAAATGTGAAGGAAGTTTATATGTATCTTTTCATGAAATTATGAAGAGTCCTCTTGGATACTTCAAATTTATTCAATAGCATAAAAGTTCAGATTATTCTAAATCTTTTATGTAGACCCCCATCAGGGTGTTCAGCACATGTAGCAGAGTTGAGCATATAGAGCACATTACTGGTGCATCCCAAATGCACCTTCAATGAACTTGATACTACCATTTTCTGGACAAATAAAACAACTGCGCTCACTTGTATTATACAGCATTTAGTAAGACCAGAGAGTAAAACCGTAAAATGTAACTGTAAATAGTGTTCGAGTGACTATTTTTCATTGATCAATCATGTGCTTGTATGAAATTCTTTCATTGTTATTGGTTGTTCAGCAATACTCAAATGAACTGTTACTTCCTATTAAGCAATCTGTGCAAATTGTTTGACCATTTTTTAAGTTTGATCTTACTCTAGTTCATGTTTTGTAACTGAAATTGACTAACTATACTGTTAACATTCTGTCTTGTGTGGAATTGTGTGCTCCTCGTCAACCTGTAAGCAATTTTTTGATATTTTGCATTTGAGGCAAGGGACTCAACAAACTAGTTGGTACTGAGTGTGAATGTATATATCCTATGATAGTGTCTTGGAAATATAATTTATTGGAAATGCGAGGTGAACTATCTTAAATGACCCAATCATGCCACTGCCACACTGTTCGATAAGCAGAGGGCAAAAATTAATTTTTTTAGTTGGGCTTTTAGTTGGGCTTGAGCATTTACGCCCACGAGCGGACTTTTGACTGTTCTGTGACGTAGCTTAGGGTTGCACACGAGAATACGCGGCAGCTCGATGGGTTGCCTACGCACTGGCGTGCAGGCGCGGTATTCTTACGGACACCCGGTACCTACCTCCTACCGACTCCCTGCCTCCTCCTCTCCCCCCTCGCCCTTCGCGCCTACACGCCAGTACGTAGGCAACCCATCGAGCGGCCCCGGACACCCGGTAGTCGCGGTCTTTCCCTCACTGCCAGGGGCGTTGACTGGTCCGTTTTCCAGGAGGGGGCAAACGGCCCAGAGTGTTGTGTGTTGCCTACCTACGGGGGTTTGTCTTATTGCGCTACATTAGTGCTATTAATGTGACATGGTTTTAACCAGTATTTTTGAACCGTTTCCGGTGGTGATTTCCTTAACTGCTCTGTATGGCACTGCCGGAACCGTCTATTGTTGACGTTCCAGCCCCTTGCTTCATTGCCCCAATCTGGACTGGCCGTTGGCTAACATCAAGCTCCGAAAGCTTATTTTATTTTCTGCGTGACCTCACATTAGTGTGTGCTAAGTATAGTGCGTGCGACAATAATTGCGACACACACTTCAAGCGTCGGAGAGTCGTGCGCTGAGTGCCCATTGAGGCAGAGCTATGGGCGCTGTTCAGAGGAAACACTCAACCTGGATGACCATGGGACGACACGGTGACGAGCGTGACATGTCAGCGTAACGCTATGGTCATTTGTGACGGTAACAATGTTGGCGGACGGCACCCCGCTGCTGCGGTGAGAAAATGATCATACTTCGGTGTGGCCGCTGCCATGCCCTGCGGTGTGCTAAATGCTGACAATTTTCCCGTCCGGTTTTGCCCCCCCCCTCTTCTCCCTCCCATTTGCCCCGGCGCGTTGCCTTGTCGCTGCGTCGAGAGCGGCGCCTGAAACACAAGGCCCTGGCGGACCGCCACGGCGGCGGGCGGGGTGGACGCTGTACTGCCAACGGCTCTCTCGCACCCTCCCGACCACTCTCCCTTGCCCCCCCCCCCAATCTCTCTCTTGCTCTTCTTTCTGAAGCCAAAACGGCGCGCGCAGGGGCCACCAGCGAGTCGCCAACTACCAACTTAGCGCGCCGCTTAATCTGAGCGTGGCGGGGCGTGGCGGGGCGTGGCGAGGCGTGGCGGGGCGTGGCGGCACTTGGTGGGGTGCTCGCCAGGGACTTTACACCGACCCCGCTAGTGAATTTTCTCACCCAGTGCAGCCAATCGTCTCAAAGAAGGCTTGGTGGGAGGGTGGTGGGAGATAAACACCCGGGCGCGAGAAGTTGGCAGAACTGGGTGTGCACTCCATTTAAATACATCCTCCCCCACGTTGTGCGGTTGGCGCGCCTCGTAGGACACAGAGTGGGGGCGGGGCGTTAAAACGACCTTCAGAAGAAGGGAGCTCAAGTTGTCCGTCTTGCGGGCGCCGTGGCGGAGCGGCGCGGGGCGCTGTCATGGCCTGACCGTATAAAGCTTCCTGCCCACACAATTAATAAAAGCACTAAAACGTAGCCAAACCCTCTCCCCTCCGTCCATCCCGCCCCTCTCATACGCGGACAGAGCAATAAAATACGTCCGAGTAATAAGCTCAAGTCATAAAAAAGTAATAAACAAAGGATAAAAGAGAGTGTTTTCCGTAGAACGCAAACAAATAACTGCGGCGAGCGAGGTCGGGTCGGTCAAAGGCAAAAGGGGTGCGGCGTAGCTGCGGGGACGGGGGACGGGCTGGGGCGGGGGCGCGGGACGCGCGCGCGCTCTCGGTGACCGAGTCCCCGTCCGGGCTGATGGCACAGGATACCGCTCCCTATTGATCCCGGGGCCCGGGCCGGCCGGGCGCGCCGCGGCGGGGCAGCCCAGCACAGCTCCTCAGGACGACGTGCCGCAGCAGCGCGCAGCAGCAGGGGAGGGTATCGCCTGCACACTCCACTACGGGGCCCTCCCTGACCTCGGCCAGGCTGACGCTGCTGCTCGAGCTCAACACTCACACACAGATGTGTGCCAACGGCGCGCGTCCTGGCCTGGGAGGTGCATTCTCAGCCAACACGACATAGGGCGCCGTCTCATCTCAGAGAATGGGACCTCGACCTTATATATACCTCCGGGACGCTTTGCCCTTACCCCTCTCCTTTCCCTCCCCTTCTCCTCTTCCACTCTCTTTTCCAGCCTGTTTCCGATCCGTGACACCGATCAAACTCATCTCATTCCAATGACCCTCCCTCCCTTGTCCTGCCGCACCCCCTACCCGTTGTCGCCGGGGAGACGCTCTCGCTGCGTTGGTTGAGCACGGGGGGCGCCCACGCCCGGCCCCGCCCGCCCTCCCAGGCCCCAGATTTTATGTCTCCGTCCTCTTGGCTTCACCCTGCCCCGCCCGGCCCCGCCCCGAGCCAAAGCCGAGCCGAGGCCAAACATGAGCAGGCGCGGACGGACGGCGGACGGACGGACAGGCTGACGGCCGGACTGATGCTGGCGGCCCCGTTCGCTCTCGGACATCCTGCGCCCGCAGCCGAGCCGAGCAGCGGTGGCTGTTATTTGCTGATTGATGCAGATTCAGGTTCGTTTCCGCAGCGCGCCGCCGCCGCTGCCCCTTCCTGACGCGCTGCTGACGGAGCGAAAGTCCAAATGAATGCCTCCAATTTCCTTTTTTGGCGTTGACTGCAGCCTACAGACAGAGGCACGACGGGAATGCACTCTTCGCCTGCCCCTACCCTCTACCGCCCCCCTCTCCCTCTTTCTGATGCTTTTTAGCCAGGCCGTCGCGCTTTTTATCCTCCCCATTCGTTTTCTACTGAATAACGGGATTGGAAGGGGGGGGGGGAGGGGTGAGAAGCGATGGCGAACGAGTGAGGCTGGCTGGAATAAATGAAAGGGGCATCGTCAGGCTTGCGGCATGCGCTCGCCATGGCGTTGCGCAGCGCGGCTGTGCGGCAGGCCACACTCGGACCCCGACTCATGCGGACCTAGGAGAGTGCCCGTTGAGGCCCGCAGGGGAAAACCCTCGCGTGCGCGAAACAAAGTAATAAAAAAATAGAGCATAAAAATGAAATAAATTAAAACCCATATTACTCAACCACCTCTTGTGTTTCATACCTCTGTCTGTCTGTCTGTCTGTCTGTCTGTCTGTCTGTCTGTCTGTCTGTCTGTCACACACGGAAGCGGTAGTAGTGGGGCATTGTATGCCGGGGGCCACTCGCTGTCGTGGGGCCGCGTGCCCCCGCAGGGACCCCTCGGGGGGCACCTCTAGCCCCCCTGAGCCCACGCGCGCGCCCCGCCCTGCGGCCCCTTAGCGCGCCCCCAAGACCCCAGCCCTGTTGGCCCCCGGCAGGGCAAATAGCAGCTTGGACGACAAGGGTGCGATATTGGAATCTAGTATGAACGCGGGGGCGCACGACCCTCCCCCTCCCCGCGACCCCCCATACGCGCCACGCTGCGCCACCTCTCCGGGACCGGGAGGGGGTGCGGGTG